TTATCACAAAACCAGATGTCTACAAGAGCCCAGCTTCAGACACCTACATAGTTTTTGGAGAAGCCAAGATTGAAGATTTGTCTCAGCAAGCACAGTTAGCAGCTGCTGAGAAGTTCAAGGTTCAAGGTGAAGCTGTTTCAAACATTCAGGAAAATACTCGGACTCCGACTGTATAAGAGGAGAGTGAGGAGGAAGAGGTTGATGAGACAGGTGTGGAGGTTAAGGACATAGAATTGGTCATGTCACAAGCAAATGTGTCATGAGCAAAGGCAGTCCGAGCCCTGAAAAACAACAGTAATGATATTGTAAATGCTATTATGGAATTAACAATGTAACTATTTGACAGCAAGGACACTTCCATTCTCCGCCTCCTCTCTCCCGTTTTTGGTGTTTCGAAAGTGGAACTACAGCTTGGTTTGAAATTTGTACTGTTTCTATCACTAATAAAGCTATGGCTTCTTGTTGGATGAAAAAAAACCCCTAAAACTCCCAAAGTCAATTCCTAAAGTTATGTTAAATGGGGGGGGGGGACCTCAAACATTTCCACTATGATAGAGAAAAAGTGTCCCCACCCCCACTCTTATTCAGTTAATTGCTTAAAATCTCAGCTAAAGCAAAAAGACAGGAGAACGTAAAAAGTTTAGAAATGGGAAGAGAAGTAATGGCACCCTATTTGCAGATGATGATTCTTTACATAAGAGACCCTAAACAACCACAAAAGCATTTTAGGACTGATAAATTCAGCAAAGTGGAATGATCAAAAATAAACATAAAGTCAAATAACATTTCTATACACCAATGAAAACATAGAGAAATTTCAAAAATGTGGGGTACATAATCCCATTTACAACAAACAAGCACACACACACACACACACACACACACACACACACACACACACACAGAATATTGGAGTCAACCTAGCTGAGGAAACATATGACCACAGGAGGCACCTGCCATCATTATCTTGGTTGCAAGTTACAAGAGATTTCAATTATTAGTCACTAGATGAGGATATAATGTTTGTGTACTGAAACAGTCTTTGATAAAAGAACCACATGTAAATTATTCCACTAAGTTGGAGGCCTTTTAAGGGTAGATAAAATTCCCAATCTAAAAAAAAATTAGAAATAATTTTTCAAAAATGAGAGAAATACTTATAAACCAAAATAAGTAAAGAAAGGAACAGGTTGATTATGAGTCAGCTTGAGAAATAAATGTATGGATGCTTGATAAAATATATAAACAATGGTTCAATGAATGAAATCTCCAAACTCAGAATAATGTAGCCACCAGGGGGGACTGTGACCCTTCACAGAAATCTCAGTGACTCAAGTGTTCAAATTCAATGGACCCAGAACAGTTGCTCACTGGCCCATTACAGTGTTACAGCAGCTGCTTCCTCCCAGGGGCAAACCCACAGCACAGAGCACAGGGCCTCCCTGGATAGGCCTCTCACAGTGTAAATGCTCTGAGAACTGAGGACCAGGTGGTGGAAAGCTGTTAACAGTTCATGTTTACATAATCCACAGCAGAAAGAGCTCACAGGGAATAGCAGTCTTGTGCTGAGAAGCTACAGATAAAACACAGCATATCAGAATCACAGAACTTAGAAATTAGACTATGAATTGTGGTAGTATATTTTGTACTCCAATAAAGCTTACCTGGAGATCAGAGGACAGAGCCATCAACTAAATTAGACATAGAGGTCAGGCAGTGGTGGCACGCACCTTTAATCCTATCACTTGGAAGGCAGAGATCCATCTGGATGTCTGTGAGTTCAAGGCTTCACTGGGCTACATGAGAAAAATAGAACCAGGTAGTGTTGACACATGCCTTTAATCCCAGAAAGTAATATGGCAGGACACAGAAAGGTATAAAAGGTGTGAGGAAAGAGGCACTTGCTCTCTTTAGGCTGAGGATTTTGTAGAGGTAAGAACTAGTGGCTGGGTATTCTGCTTCTCTGATCTTTCAGTTTTCACCCCAATATCTGGCTCTGGGATTTTTATTATAAAACCATTTAAGATTCATGTTACAATGGATGTCTCTGTAGAGACAGAGATCAGGAGAGCTGCAATGTGAGCACAGTCTTTTGGCCATGGTGAGTGTGGACCTTTTAACCAGCAGGGGACACTGTGAGGCAGTCTGTGTTTGTAGTAAAATAAGGATTATTTGCTCAAAAATGTTTTGGCATAGAGGAGATACCATTTATTAGGAATCAGTAGCTGCATATTCTCAAGCCTGGAAGAAGACTTTCACCTTGTTCAGCAGGTACTTCCTCCTGTGGGGTCCCCAGTGAATAAATAACCCTCCATCCTCCCAAATGTGTATGAGCTGAGAGCATTAGCACTAAGGCTGAGGGAGGAACAGAGGCCATCATGGATGGAAACATTTTGGCAGGAAAGGCTCTGTGTGCGTAATGAGGAGGGGATGCAATGAGATCTGAGGCAGGGCTGCCTATGGTAAGGCTCAGGAGCTGTGTCCCTCATGAGGGGACTGTGCCCTTCCTCCTGCTCTTCCCTCAGGTCACAGGTAGGAATGTGCATCAACAGGTCTCAATTCCCACTCAGCCTTGTCCAGCAATCCATGGGAGTGTCTACTCTGGTCTCTGCTGCATGTATTCTCATACTGTTTGCAGGGTCCCTCTGCCATGCTGTGCTGACTCAGCTGCCCTCACAGTGTATCCTCTGGAGCATCTGCCACACTCCCCTGCAGCCAGAGCAGTGGCTGCAGTGTGGGAACTCTGCTTCTCTGCTTCCCGGAGAATCCAAGACCCAGCTGAAATCTCCTGCAGGACCACACAGACTTGTATTTATCTTAGGATTCTTGAGCAACAGTGACTTGCTCAAAGATTTCTCAAACTTTACAAGGGTATTGGTTATTCTTATAATGCAGCCTTGGATGAAGCTGATTCTTACTATTCTCAAACTCATCTTAATGGAACATATATTCATTAAAATATATAAGTTAACTAAAAGAGAGTAAAAACTTGGGTTCATATGCCTTATATCTTTTGAGTGTCCTTCACTGGCATACTTCCTAGGTGGCATTAAGATACTAAAAAGTCCATGGCCAAGTAAAAAGCAATAAAAAGCTTGTTCTATGACAAAATATACACTAGAGAGTCCCAAGAAGGCACAGGGAGACTTGATAATCACTCCAGGGACACATGTCATTTTGTCTGAAGTCATTAACATGAGTGTCTACTAAGGTCAGCATTGTTAACATGACCCGCAGAAGCCAGGCATGATGAGTCACCAAGCAGAGGCTTCACTGTATTCCTTCCAGCCCCAGGGCTACATGAGATGTCCCCTTTCCTTTGCTGTCAAGCTCAGCACTGTCTCTAACCCTGTCACCACTACCGCATCTGTGTCCATTTACCCAGAATGTTCTGTCACAAGCCAGGCCTGGGCCCTGAGACCTCAGCATGCAGTCTCTACCCTCCTCAACTCCTCACTGCTCAAGTGTACCTTCTTTGAAAGAAACTTCTAGATCCAATAGGCCCTAAGGTGATAGAAGTACAATCTATCTACTGTGTAGAAGTATAAATTCTCCATCATGGGAATGCTGGACACAGGATGCGAAACTTAGCTCTGGTTCTCATGGGAAGAATCATCTATCTGTTTTTCTGTCCACCTGTCAGAGCTTTCCTGCTGCAAAGCCCAGATCTTAGCTCCAAATATTTACATTATCTTAGAAAGAATTCAATGTGTCTCAAGAACTACAAATAAATGGCAATAGATTTACATTATTATCCTTTTTTGGTAATCATATTTCAATCAATCTTTTGTGAAGAAGTTAAAAATAGGTTTGATGTCAAAATCTTGTTAGATATTTAAAACAAGTTTATTGAGCTGGAATGTTCATAAAATGCACCCATGTTAGAGACAAAGTTTGGCAAATGCACACACATATAATTTATATAAAATACTTATTTTCAAATGTGTTATGATATATATTATTTGTTAAACAATTTAAATACTCCCTATCTACCCTACATTTTCACCTCTACATTAATCCCATGAAGCTTGAATCTAGTGATCTGCTTTGTTGCTTGAAACTACAACCCATCATTTCAGAAATAGGCACTTGTACTCCAAAATTACAGTCTTTAAAAACCTGACAAGGTGATTCCAAAACCCTGTTTTATGCTTGTGTGTACATGCACTTGATCCTTTCTAGTTTCTGTGCAGGGTATACAGATATACTATGGTTTCTTTGTTACATGACACACATTTGGATTATCTGAATGATGAATAATTCTGCCTTGTATTAATATGTCCATGTGTTAATGCACGAGCACACTTGAGCAGAATGATAAGCCATATGAGAAAGTGATGCTAACTGTAAAATGGACTGCTTTTGGAAAGCTTGCTACCTCATGTCGTGCATCAGAGATCCACCTGTTTTATTACCTTGCCCCCTTCTGCTCTTGTCATTCAGTTCTCTAATTCATTTTTTGTGCTTGTGTAGTGAGGTGTCATGGTGAGTTGATTTGGCAGCTTTAGACTCATTATACTATACACAATCATCTTGCATGAGGTGAAAACTATGATGAAGAAAGAAATGAAGATCAAGTCATGTTCCCATCCTTACCTTACTAACTGTGAGCTCTTTAAATTACTTTGCCTCTTTCTCCTTATTCCTTCCTTTACATTGTCCTGCATCTTCCAATGATTCTCACTGTCAGTAGGGTAAGACTTGGTGGAGCATAGCTTGCACTGCTAATGTCCCTCTAGGACATTAGACAGAAGACACTTTTGTCTCTGGAAAAGCAAAGGTAGCTGAACAGTAATGGAATGATCTTGAATATTCTTAAAAATATTCAATCAGTAACTTGTGTCAACTCCATAACTTGCATCTGACAGCATATAATCAGCCTGGAAGAGGAGTTCATTTGCATTAATGAGTGTCTGGCTCCATGTTAGTTGTTATAGTAAGCACTGTGACACTGCCTTTTGCTGAGCAATCTTGAGAAGAGCAGACCTGGACCAGGAGTCATGGCCTGGACTTCTGTTTGGATCACACTTCTGGCTCACTGCACAGGTCAGGGGGTCTTTTAGGGCCAGGGTGGATATGCAACGGTGCACATCTTTTATCTGCTTTGCTATTGACCACTGGATTTCTCAACTGTTTGCAAGGGCCATTTCCCAGGCTGTTGTGACTCAGGAATCATCACTCACCACATCTCCTGGAGGGACAGTCACACTCACCTGTGGCTCAAGTACTGGGGCTGTTACTACAAGTAACTATGCCAACTGGGTCCAAGAAAAATCTTACCGGGTACACAGTGGTCTGATAGGTGATACTAGCAACAGAATCCCAGGTGTTCCTGCCCGATCCTCAGGCTCCCTGCTTGGAGACAAGGCTGCCCTCACCATCACAGGGGAACAGCCTGAGGATGAGCCTGTGTATTATTGTGCTCTATGGTACAGTATAGCATGCACAGATGGAGAAGTAGAACACAAAAACCCTGGTATAGCCTTATGACTACTGTTTTCTTACTATGTGACTACATCTCCCTAGGCTCAGAGAGCATGTTCTCTGTTACTGCAGAGAAAATCATGAAAGTCTTTATCTAAGGCTAAAAAAATGTTTTATTTCAACACATTTTATGAAGCCTGTCCTGGAACTTGCTCTGTAGACCAAACTGTCCTGGAACTCTGAGAGATCTACTGGCCTCTGCTTCCCTAATGCTGCTTTTAAAGGCATGTTCCAACACCATCCAGCCCTTTTAAGTTTGTTCTTTTTTATTATGTTGCCATGCCTAGCTAGGGTTCCAGGACCAAATCCATAGTTTCCAACAACATAGAAAAAACAAAGGCTACTTGTAAGCAAGTAATTCATAAAGCAAGCAAATGAAAATTGACAGAAACTTTTAAAACCTAAAGGACCTGGACAGATATAATCTAAGTCCTGAGAGATGACAACTGCTAATCTATATTATTGTATACAGCAAAACTATGTATTAATGTAGAGGGAGGACCAAATGCCTTGTTTAATTAAAACAGATAAAAAGGGGATTTATGAGCACTAAGGCAGCTTTACTTCAGTCTAACGGAAGAATGAACACTCTTGAGGCCCCAGGATATTACACAGAATTACAGGAAACACACAAAGCTGGGACAGATAATCAAAGGACTTCTAAGAAAAATCACTGAATAAACCATATACAGCTATCAATAACTCTGAATATAATGATTTTAATTTCTCAAAAATTACAGAGTTGCAGATTAGATCAGAAAACACAATGTCTCTTTTGCTGGATCCAAGAAACCCAACTAAACACTAATCACAGATAGCACTTTAGAGTAAAGGAAAGGAAAAGACATTCTAAGCAAATGGAACTAAGAAAAAAGTAGGCATCATTATTGCTATCATTATTTCTGGCCAGAAGAAATAATACTTGTCAGAGGAATTGTTCAATGACAGGATATTATAATTCTAAACATACTCACCAAATGCAGTCCACTCAGTTTCATGACTGAAATACTCCTGGGTAAAAGTCCATAGGTTAGTGCCAACACATTGGTACTAGGTAACTTCAATATCTCACCCTTACCAATAGACAAGTCATCCAGAAAAATGTAAATAGAGAAGTGTTAGTGTTAAATGACATCATAAATCAAGCTGAACAACAGATCTACATAACATTTTCACAAAACTAAACAAATCACAGTCTTATCAGCAGTTCAGGGGAGTTTTTTCCAAAAATGATGATATGTTAGAAAACAAACAAATCAAATTTCAACCAAAACAGAAAAACTAAATACCATCTTGAATTCTATCTGACCATAGGAATAAAGGTAAGTATCAAGAGCAAAAGAACTCATGAAAAGTACAGAAACTAAATAAAAAAGGACTGAATTATAAGGCCAGGCAAGGAAGAAATCAATAAGGTAAAGTTAAGGAATGTATAGAATTGAAAGAAGGCAGGCACAATGAAGGCAGTAGAGGGATGTTTATACTGCTAAAAATCTACACAAAAATTTGAAATTATTTTCTTTATTTTTATGATTATAATTATATCACTCCCCTCTTCCCTTTCATCCTTCCACACCCTCCCATGTATCCCTTTTTGTTCTCCTTCAAATTAATGGCCTCTCTTTTCAACAATTGTTGTTACACACATATATGTTTATATATATTTCTTTATACATATATAATACAGCCTGTTTAGTCTATATAATGTTGCATGTAGTATATAAAAATTTAAAAGATATCAAAAATTTTGAAATATCAAAGGTTTTAAAGAAATCTCAAACTAATAAGTCAATGTTGTACCTTAATTCTTTCACAAAAAATAACAAACTAAATTCAAAAATAGTGGATGGGAAAAAGTAATCAAAATCAGGGTTGAAATTAATAAAATATAAATGAAAAAAAAGCAGCCACTTAAAGAAACAGCTGATTCTGTGAGAAGATAATATTGACAAACCCTTGACCAACTATCCAAAAAGAAAACATATTAATAAAACATGATATTAAAATGTAGACCCTTGGTTAAGGAAGATATGGGCATAAAGGGGCTGAGGAATCCTCCTTACAGGCTAAGAAAAACAGCTGAGGCCTGGTATGTGGCAGTAAATTCCCTGCCTGGAGGCTCAGAAAAGTCACTTTGTGAATCTGTGAAATGAAGCCTGGACTGTGTTGGAGACATCAAGATGTTGGAGATGCCTGACACATGTAATACCTGCCTAGGAGAGCAGCAGACAGGGTGTGGAACTAGGCCAAAAGGCTGAATAGAGTTTGTGCTGCTGGATTTCAGTTCTGCTTTGGTCCAATGCTCCTCAATATATCTGTTTGTCATAGTTAGCATACAGTTTTGAGTCCCAGAAAAGACTTTGGATTTTAAAATAGTTTTGACACTAGACCCATAAACCTACCCTGCACTGATTGGGAACAGGTAAAGGCCTCATATTCAGACCGGGCAGACCAGGTCCCTAGCTCCTAGGCCCAGGGGGCACATTCCATGTGCCTCCCCCATGCCATTGGAGCCCCAGTAACCCAACAGCTGCCTCTTCCCCCACCCCCTTGCCAAGACAACCATCCCCTGCAACATCAGTGACCACCAGTCCTGTAAGCCCACCCTGCACTGCCTGGGAACAGGTAAGGCCCAATCTCTGGACTGGGCAGACCAGGTCTCTATCCCATAGGCCCCAGGGGCACATTCCACACCCCACCCCCAGACAGTGCAGCCCTAGAGACTGGGCAGCAGATTTGTCCCCTACACCACTCACCAAAACAATCATCTCTTACATCACCAATGACCACAGAAACCATAAGCTCACCCTGCACCAATTGCAAATAGGTGCTGCCTGAGACAGGGCCCACTAGCACCTATTAGACTAAGAGATGTTCCCTGAGACACAGAGTCCATCAGTAACAGTTGGACCAAGAGCCCTGATTAGACCAAGAGCTCCCATTGGACCAAGAGTTTCAATCGGACTGAGAGAGGCTCCCTCAGACACAGACACTACTTGCACCTAGTGGAGGAAGAGATAGGTAGATGCTAGTGCAAAAATATAGTCAACAACATGAAGACCAACATGGCATGATCAAATTTAGTGGTTCTAAATCAGCAAGATCTGAATATTCCAATGCAGACGAAGCAGAAGAAATCAACCTTAAAAATGACTTTAAGATGGTAGAGTCCTTTATAGAAGAAATGAAAATTTCTTTTAAAGAAATGGAGGAAAAGACAAACAAAAAATTGTAAGAAATCAATAAAACCCTTAAAGAAAGCCAAGAGAAAGCAATTAAACAGATGAAGGAAGCAGTTCAAAATTTGGAAACTGAAATAGAGGCAATAAAAAAGACAAAATGTGAGAATGCTGGAAATGGAAAATCCGAGTAAACAAACAGGAACTACAGATGCAAGCATAACCAACAGAATGTAAGAGATGGAAGAGAGAATCTCTGGAATTGAATATAAAATAGAGGAACTAGATTCCTCAGTCAAAGAAAACACTAAATCCAAGAAAGTCGTAATATAAAATGTCCAGGAAATTTGGGACACCACGAAAAGACCAAACCTAAGAATAATAGGGATAGAAGAATACCAACTCAAAGGCCCTGAAAATATATTCAACAAAATCATATAAAAAAAACTTACCCAATCTAAAGAAGGAAATGCCTATGAAGATACAAGAAGCTTACAGAACACCAAATAGACTGCATTAAAAAAAGTCCCTTTGCCACATAATAATCAAACCACTAAACATATAGAACAAAGAAAAAAATTAAGAACTGTGGTGGTATTGTGTTACTCAAAATATTGTGCATGCTAATAAACTTATCTAGGGTCAGAGAAAAGAACAGCCACAATATTAAACATAGAGGATAGGCAGTGGTAGCACACACCTTTAATCCTAGCATTTCAGAGGCAGAAATCCCTCTGGATCTCTATGAGTTCAAGGCCACACTGGAAACTGCCAGGCATGGTGACTCATGCCTTTAATCCCAGAAAGTGAGCCTTTAATCCCAGGGAGTGATGGAAGAAAGCAGAAAGTTATGTAAGGTGTGAGGACCAGAAACTAGGAGCTTTTAGCTGGTTAAGCATTTAGGCTTTTGATAAACAGTTCAGCTGAGATTCATTTGGACAAGGACACAGAGGCTTCCAGTCTGAGGAAACAGGATCAGCTGAGGAACTGGTGAGATGAGGTAGCTGTGGTTTGTTCTACTTCTCTGATCTTCCAGCATTCACCTCAATAACTGGCTTCAGGTTTGAATTTTATTAATAAGCACCTTTAAGATTCATGCTACAAAGTGCTGTAAAGGAAAAAGGCCAAGTAACATATAAAGGCAGACCCATCAGAATAATACCTGACTTCTCAATGGAGACTTTGAAAGCCAAAAAGTCCTGGACAGACATTACACAGACACTAAGAGACCATGGATGCCAACACAGACTATTATATCCAGCAAAACTCTCAATTGCCATAGACAGAGTAAACAAAATATTCCATGATAAAACCAGATTTAAACAATACCTATCCACAAACAAGCCCTACAGAAAGCACGAGAAGGAAAAATCCAACCTAAGGAAGTTAGATACAACCATGAAAACACAGGCAATAGATAATCCCACACCAACAAATATGAAAGAAGGGAAACACACAACACTACTACCAAAAAATAACAGGAAATAACAATCACTGGTCATTCCCACCTATAAAAAGATAAAAAAGACACAGGCTAAAAGAATGGATATGAAAACAGGATCTGTCCTTCTGTTGCATACAAGAAACACCCCTCAACTTCAAAGACAGACACTACCTCAGAGTAAAGGCTGGGAAAAGACTTTCCAATCAAATGGACTTAAGAAAGCTGGTGTAGCTATCCTAATATCTAATAAAAACAGACTTCAAACTAACATCAATCAAAAGAGGTTGGGAAGGACATTACATACTCATCTCAGGGAAAATCC